TTTTTTTTTTGACATCTAGTTATCTCTAGCATTACTAGACAATCTCTTGTTTTTATTTAGGTCCAAATCTATACGGTAACAAAATCAGGCATTGCAAGTGCTGAAAAATTCGAGGAGATTCTTCGAATCAGTGCTCCGCTGGTGAATATTACTGCGGAAGAGATTGCTAAAAGCAGTGCAACATTCCGGGTAACACTTCGATCGGCTGTTGTCTTCGATCCACCAGAGTGCAGCTTACATATTGTGGTGTTGGATATGCGCAGCATGACCATTTATGACCGTATCACGCCAATTACACCCACAATATCACCCATTGTCCTGGAAGGGTTGCGTCCGTATCATCGCTACACTATTCGCTCAGAAGTTCGTATTTCTGTTTTCGTCACTATTTTAAAAATGTTGATTGTATGATTATTATATGTACCTGCCTGGGAAAGTTATGCTCATAAAAAAGTTCCAAAATCATCCACATCCTCATATTTCTCAAGCATGGACAACTTTTAGCAAAAATCGGTTTCTAGTACAGAAAGTCGAAATTACATGAGCATTGTCCTTGTCCATGTCCGACCCAAAGGATCCCTGCGCAATTCATTTTGTGAACCATCTTTCAAATACATTACAACTCGCAAACAAACAGGTTAAATTTCAAGTTGAAGTGGCGTGATAATGCTGTTCTGGAAAACAGACTGTTGATCATGTCCTTTCGCAAAACAGGTCAATAAAGTGAAGATACATACCAAAAAAACCAAGGGCGGCTCGAGCATTTACTGAGAGTATCCCGTGTTATTTTTGTTCTCCAGGCACAGTTACTTCGAGTCTTTTGCTCTTAATCTACATACCTCCAATTCACACCCTCATATTTAATGCATTTTTACCGCCACTTCAATCATAAATTCATAATTTCCCTGGTGTGTGAATGCTGTCCTTATTTTAGGTGATTTGTGGCAAAGCAAGTGATGGGAACTGTCCTCCAAAGTTGCGAACCATGGATCCTATCTCATTCGAAACGCAGCAGGACCGACCTGGGCCAGTGCGGAACCTCACTGTTCGCATTTTGAATCCATACAGTGCACAGCTTTTTTGGCTACCGCCGGCTCTCCCCAATGGTATCATCACGCACTACATCGTCAGCATACATCCCATGGTTTGTTTCCTCAAGCAATCCAGTATATTATGTCATGAGCAATAGCAAATGTTTAGTTAGTAAGCTACTGATCTCCCCCAAGGAACTGCTCGTGTTACGGCCCATCACCGGGACCGCTTCTGTGATGCCATTA